TCTTTATTAAAATAAAGAGCATCAGCAGCGTTAGCAGTGGCAGTAGCAGCAGCAGCAGTAACGTCATCAGCCTCGCTACCACTTCCGCCACTTCCACGAGAATGAGGGGGAGAGAAAACGGCGGGTAGGTGTACCCAATCGGTTTCTTCCGTAAAATTCATGCCCCCAATCTGCGGTATGGCCAGCTCAAAATCGGGAATGGTTTTGTTTAATTGGGAGCAACATCCCACGGCAGGATCGACTAATCCTTCCCAGGCCATTAGCTCGTCTATTTAGGACTGGTCGTGGCCACACAGAGAGGAAGCCGAGATGCAGGCCAGGTCTGTCCTCGAGAATTCAGTTGGTCCATTACTGCTGGCCTCTTTTAACGCCAATGCCTATGGTGATAACCATTTGTGTTTTACTACCATATTCTGCCCACCGCATCCGAAAATATCAGGAAAGTTTCTGAAGAAACCACTGCTTAAGTAGAGGGTAAGTTCACGCTGAAGGGACTCCCACTTCTAAAAACACAGTCCGTTGCTTAGTCAGCCAGTTATTATATATATAGTGCTCGGATCCAACTGTGGTTTTAGGAGAACCACTGACGAATGAACAAAATATCATCACACAAGTCGCTCCAATATGGGGGGTATGTAATCCCTCATCCACAATTTATGTTAGCTCAGTTAAAATCTCTTTCTCGCATTTCCTTTTCAGTCTGGAAGCAGTTGGATAAGGAGCGTGGCACGGATATTTCGTCGTCTCCTCTGCTGCGTTTCTGGCATCCGAGTGTGGTTAACTGCCCCCATTTCACCTTCCAGTTCATCAACCATTCTGCCCTTTGAATACCATCAGGTCTATTTGACTATACTTTATGGTGGTTGCTGTAAATAGTAAAATTTACTTATAGTCGTTCCTTATATTACCCTCAATTCCCGCCGTTAGTGTCTCAGTCCATTTTTTGATGTGATCTGCACAACTAGTGATCAGCCCAATGAAACGTTAACTATAATTCTGACATACATTAGGAAGAAGGGCTCAAAATGGGTTAGTTCATTATGTTTGAAGGGGCCCGACAATGCCTTTAAGAACCTACTGAAAACAGTATATACAGCGTTCAAACTAGTATAACATGGTACTAAAATGTTGTCAGCAATATATAGATTTCATAGATATTTATTGTCGTCATGTAGTTCAGGAATCCGGACACCCACCGTTATGGAGGTGTATCTGTCTGGTTAAATTTTCAAGGCCTAAGAGAATTTTAGTGAACATCTTCCTTGACCCACTTCCTCGTCAGAATATACCTCTCTCCCCTTTCTTTTTCAGCGTAGAAGCGGCTAGACACGGAGGCTTTTCTGGAATCCGAGTGGAATAACCTGCCCACCCCTCGCCCTTCCAGTTCATCAAGCGCTCTGCGCCTTAAATCTCTCAGTTACGCTTTATTTCCTCACATTTTTGGTTGAGCTGTATGATGGTAATTGTAAATAGGATTTGGTGTACACATTACCGTAGTTTATTATACATTACCAATAACTTAGTTCGTTGTGGCAAACCCGTTTTCTTCTGAACGTATTCAGCATTTACAAATCCATTGCATGCTCACACGGAAATCTTTAGCATCCTGTGGTTACTTTTTGTTTCGTACGTTTCAGTTCCGCTTAGTTCAATTTTTTGTTTAATCAGTTTGGTTTATTTTTTAGTTTTAGTTTGGTTTTAATTTTAGTTTAGTTTTCAGTTTAGTTACTTTGGTTTAGTTTATATTATGTTAGTTTTGTTTAATTGTACTTTACTTGACTTTTAATTTGGTTTATTTTTCCGTTTATTATTCAGTTTTACTAGTTTTATTTTAGTCTTTGATAAACTTCGATTAGTTTTAGTTCAGTTAATTTACCTTACTTTAGTTTACCTTAGTTTAGTTTAATTTTATTTTTATTAGCGACATACAGGGGTACCGCCAACTCTATGGCTAGCTCTTTTAATAGCTTTGCAGGTAGCACCCGGACCTGACAACTTCGTTTCTTTGAGCTGTAGAAGTTCTCGCAGAACAGTAGCATCCGTGAGTGCAACTGAGTCTATGGTCTGGGTCTCACCCACACTGGAGTTTACAGCGGTGAACTCGGCCTCTCTCGTAAAGACCGACTGAAAGAAGCAGGGTAGATGTTCAGCCTTTCCATTAATCTCGCAAACTTCTACACCGTCGTCTGTTTTTAACAGAGGAATTGGGTCTCTATTTCGAGTGCATTGTCTAACGTAGCTGTAGAAAAGCTTTGGGTTTCCTACTGCCCGAGTTTATTAGATTACTCTCGAAGCTTTGGCGGCTATTTCGTATCAGGCTCTTAACCCTGTTTCTCTGCGCCTTATACTTATTGTGCGACTCGGGGGTCCTCTCTCTGCGATAGGTTTGCCACATCCTTCCTTTGCGATTTACTTCTCTCTTCAGCGTGGGCGTTAGCCATCGAGGCCTATTTGTTACTTTCTTAACCGTGATAGGACAGAAATCGGTATTTGGTCCGCACAATACGGCTTTGAATGCCGACCAATAATCGAGAACGCACCCGGTGAATGTTTCATTCCAGTTTGATTCCAGTCTATGTCAGTAATGCATATATTTTACATATCATTATTGTTGCTGTGAGGGTCCGGAATCCGGACAAACTGAACTGTGAGGGCAATGTCGAATATTAACAAATATTGGTTAATGATTGCCCACAACTCGGTAGCAGGAATCACTCTTTCCATGCTGTGATCAGTGAACCTCCACCAACCCAGGGTCAATATTCTTGAATTCAAACGGCACGACAGACCTTAATCAGTTGCATATCTCCCTCCATGTTCATGCCGACACTTCAAATCCTTGCTCGTTATGCGCTATCTGCTGCTTTTAGATCTAGGAAGACGCAAAAAAACCACGTAGCCTGGAAGGCTGGTGGGATAAATCAGCCCCAATGCAAGTGCGTTGGGGTGATCGAAGAACAGAGTCAAACTGCCATGCATTCTTCTAAACGTGACCACTGTTAACGCGTTTAGACCCCGAGGCTTTGCACTACTTACAAATACCGCTTCATCTGAATTAAGCATTAAATCGCGCGAAACCTTTCCGCCTCTTCTTCAGAATACACCAAGAATTACTGCTTTTGCAGTTTCACTGTCTCGCTCGTGCACACGGTGAAGTAAAATCCTCCTGGACCTCTCGAGTTTCCCATTCTGCTTGACACTAGACAATAATATGTCCGAATTACATTAGGGTGGGGAAATTTTCATTTAATCAGGACACATAAGAAGATGACTTTACAGAAGCCGAATGCAGTGCGTCAGCAACGTAACTGTAACTACGCAGGGGACTTCTAGCACACCAAGTTAAGTGACGCAAATTTATTATGACCTTGCAACGTAATCAGTTTGAATAATATAAGCTGCCCACGCACAATACTGAAGTTGAGATGGTGAGATGGGGAGAAATTCAGATGACATTCCCACATCACGCATGGGCCTGATTGGACACTTTAAAAAACATTCAGTATATGGGTCTGCTAGGTGGCATGAATGCCTGTGCAGCTCACTGGTAGAGCCCAATCGTTCGTAACAAACCAGTGCGCTTCTAAGTCACCATCATCTTCATCCCACATCACAAAGCTCAGTGTCACAAAACGTACACAGACAAGCAATCAGCACGACTCATGTGAGGGAGTAATGTCCATGGATCGATAAGAAGCCCTGTCGATCATCGGAATTATACTTTTAGTAGCCTGAGCTTTCGAACTCCTGCGGGAGACTATCATCAGAGGTAAGATCGTCAACAAAAAACAAGCAACATTTACAGGGGAAGGGGCAAATTAACCGTCACAGGGGCGGGTAGAGGGGGAGGGGGAGATTAATAAAACTATTAATATGCGAAAATATTCGCGGTCCAGAGATAATTTTACCTTCAT